CTGCGTTCAAGCCCCACGTCGATAATTTTAATTTATAGTCTAGGCTGATAGTCCAGTGTGGTCCTGGGAGTGTGCTTCATTGTTCGAGGTGCTGTCCTTCAGATGAAACATTAAACTGAAGTACTGTACTGTTTAGGTGGACATTAAAGATCATATGACCCTATTTGAAAAGAGAAGGTAGTTTCTTACAGTGCTGTGGCCGACAATCTGCCAAATAAAACTGATCATTCACTTCATGGCTGTTTGTGGGACTTACATTGTACAAAATTAGTTGTCGCGTTTGTCCACAAAACACAGTCAATATCTATTTACACTATATCGTGTGAAGCCCTTTGAGATGTTCTCCCATTATGAAAGGTGCTATATCAAATGTTAGGTTTATTATTAAACTACCTAAATAATATCAATTTTAAGAAACTGTAATAACTAGTGTTAGTCTGGGAATATTATTATGTGGGACCGACTGAACAATTCTGCATACTGGAATCACAATCTGGGATGTAATTGTTGATGTAAGTCAGGGCAATACTTGGGATACAATTAGCTTAAGTACCTCTGGGTTTACAAGGCTACAAACTGCCTCAGCACCAGTTTTGCTGCTCCTGATTGTTATCAAGTGACCCCTCTTGGGAGGTTGACATGTGCAGGTGTTGGATGAAGAAGGCATTGGGCAAAGGCAGGATTAAGTGGGTTTGATAGCCATTTGGTCAAATTGCCTTAATTTTAATCTTAACTGAATCAGAGACAAGATGAGGGGAGCACATTGGAGGAGAAAACTTGAGTGGAAATAAACAACATAACTTTTAAATAGCTTTAGAAATTACTGTCTTTTGAGGCAATATCCACTAGAAACTGAGCTGTCACTGCCAAACTAATTTCATGTTGACAGCTTTAAATTGGAAAGCTGTCAGGCCACTATGTGTGTGTAAAAAAAGCAATGGATTAAAGTAGTTGCTCCATTCTGTCTGGAAGAAAGCTGAATGAGTACTGTCTTCCAAACTGCTGAAACTCAGATGTAAATTTACCAACAGTCAAATGGTTAATATTTCCTGGTAACTTCCTGCAAGACGGAAGCCATACTCCTTGGCTCCCATCAACGTCCTTTCTCCTGCAGCTCAGACTTTCTCAACCTCTCCGGCCTTTTCCTAACAGTTACTAAACCTGTGCTAGGGGTCAGGTTCGATCCCCAGCTGTCCTTCCAACCCCACATCCAGGCCCTGACGAAGACCGCTTTCCTCCACCTCCATTACATTGTTCGGCTCTGACCGTACCTCTACCAAAAGTAGCCAAGACCCTTGTCCACCCTTTTGTTACCTCCCGTCTCAATTACTCCAATGTTCTCCTCGCCAGTCTCCCCAGCTCCACTATCCACAAAATCCAACTAATTAAAAACTCCGCCATCCGTACATCACCCCACTGTAAACTTTGTATCCCCATCACACCAGTCTTCGCCAGGCTCTCTCTCACATAACAAATCGACTTCAAGTTCCTCACATTTGCCTATAAATCCCTTCATGCTCTGGCACCTCCTTACCTCTCCGACCTGCTTACTGCCCACTCCACCATCTCCGCTCCACCGACCACTTCCTCTCGACTGATCCCTCATCCCCCCTGCTTCTGCCTTGTACCCTCCTGCTTGTCCCTTGTCCCCTCAACTCCACCATTGGTGGTCATGCTTTCAACCACTTTGGCCCAAAACTTTTGAACTCTCTCCCTTCAATCCCTCTGCCTTACTCCCTCCTTCCCATTTTCAAATCACGCCTGAAGATCTTCAACGGTGGTTATGGTCACCTCTTCCCAGCTCGGCATCAGGTTCTACCGCTGTTAAGTGCTTCGAGACGCTACCATGTGTGAAGGGCGTTATATAAATGCACGTTTTTGTTGTAATATCATTCTCTATCCACTCTCTATTCCTGGCTCCATCAACATTCCAGAGTTACGTAGACTATAAATTGAGGGAGGATTCTGGGTGGGCGAGAGTGAGAGGAGACTGGTTTAAAAGCCCTAATTTCTCTCTGGTCAGAACTTCTTTATCACATCCAAATAGTTGGCTGTAGCAGGTCAGCTATAAGCAAATAGAAGCATTTGACCCACAACAGTCTGTGTTCCTTAGTGGTAAGTACTATTACTCAGAGTGGGGACTTCTGACCATTGCCAGCAGGGGCCTCTCAAAGTTCGGTCTATTCCAGGGATGTCTTAGCACAGGACAGTTTTGGCCAACTGTCGGTGGACTTGTTGTTGGTGACAGGAATCCACTGGTCTTTTCAGCAAGTCTGGTAGTTACATTAAACACTACAATGACGACTGTGTCTAAAATATACCTTGTTATGCTGTCTTAATTGATATTTATAGCTAGCGAGCGAAAGCTTAAAAATGATTTGTGAAATCAGTCCATCTGTGAGTGCAAACGGCATGCAATGAAACCGATTTCACATCACCGAGCTCTGCTTCACAGTATGTACAATTTAATCAAGCAAAGAAGAACGTGGCTCTGGGGAGTGTTACTCAGCAAGGGGGTGGCAGCATTACCGAACGGATGGTTGAGCCAATTCTTGTTGCCTGCTTGACTTCAGCTGAAAATTCAGAGTGAAGATGGGGATGTGTGGACATGGATTAAAAAAACAACACCGCAACTGGTGATCTCAGTTGTCTGCAACAAATGACTGATTCCCACAATCGCAGCTCCTCCTCCTGGTCACAGGAATAGAAACGGAACACCTTAACCCACTTATCTTAAACCACAACATCATCCACCTCCACTTTATCCTATCTTGCTGGCTTTAGTTACTTACTTTAGAATTTCCCAATAGGCCTATATGTGGGTCCTATTTCCTATTATTTTGATAAAACTGGTAAACAAAGAAATAAATAACAATGATATTGTAATAATAATAATCGTTACATTTGATATAATGTCTTTTCACAATAGAACTTTGGAGTTGAGTCAACCCTCAGTAGTTCGGTTCCTAAGCCATGTGGGACTGCAGGATTCCAGAGCACTGATGATAACGGTCCGGCCAGTTTGGCGCATTGTCGGTAGTTGAAGGTGCAGACCAGTCACTGGGAGCAGAGATTTTTTTCCACTCAGCTCCTGCTAACCCTGCAAGCCAAAATCCTGTCAGGTAGGATGGTCCTAGCTGGACAAGCAACAGGAAGCTTGTCAGATAGTGGTCCAAATGGCAAGCTAAGCAAAAGTACTCCAGCACACACTCTGGGGTTCCCAAGCCTTGGCTGTTGTCACCCTGCATCTAATACTCTTCAGAATAAGTAAGCAGGATGTGATCCTCCAAGGAGAGAAAGTGCATTCCATTCCAGACACGGGAATGTCAGTGTGTAAGTGGCATATGTAAGTGACTGGTTTAGATACCCTTAAGCATAGTGATGGGTTTCCCTATGGGTCAGACACATGACTGATGAAAAAAAGTGTTTCTCCAAAATATTTCTGTATCTTTGATCTCGTATTTATTTTTTGTAATCAAATACCACTGACTCAATGCTGGGGTCGGACCAGTTCAACAGATACCAGTAACCGTAAATTACTAAGTGTGTATTTTCTAATGTATATTAAGAAGCTGTTCGCAAATTTCAATTACTTCTGAAATAAACAATGCATTCCTTCATAAAGAACTTTGTAACTGAAATGAAATAGAAAAAAAATGATTTGTAAGCCTGAGTGCTGCTGAATATAATGCTAGGCTGGATGATCCCACTGAGGTTTGTGACAATGAAACTACTTAAAAATCTGCACAAGAAAAAAAATGCCTAGGATTAACCGGCCTGCTGAAATAAATTTTACTTGCACATTAACGAAAGCCACTTTTATATTAAAAAAATCTTTGAAGAAGCACTTGGTGTCTGCAGTGGAACTTTGATTATCCTTTGCCCTGATTATCCGAAATTATTCGGGTAATCCCAGTGTCACTCTGTTTTAGTTCCCATTCTGCCAGTTCTTAGACAGAGTTTCTAGGAAATGAGAGGTAATTTGGAGAAGTGAGTGCCGCGGGTTCTGAGGTGGAGAGCTGAATTAACAAAGTAGAATCTTATTTTGTGTAGCAGGAGCTGAGTTAATTGCAGTGAGTTAGTGTAGCAGGAGCTGAGTTAAACGAGCAATTGAAGTAGAGCAGCAGTAGAATCGGGGAGAGACAGGAGATCACATAAAGTAATACCGATTTTAATATCTCTAGTGCTCATAACTCATAGTTTGTCAGACATTGCTGTGTGCAATTGAGCTGTCGTATTTGCACTCTGCTTCACAGGTAAATCCTGTGAAGCCTTTTGGGATGGCCTCCCAAGGTGAAAGACAGTAAACCAAATGAAAGGATTATTATTTTTTAATTTGATTTGTGTTTAGTTTGAAGTTCTAAAAGATGAAGTGTAAAAACATAGCTCCATCAACAGAGTTCCCACGAGTCAGTGTGCCACATTTTCAGTTACCATCCAAGGATCATCAGCGACTGCTGTTACGAATGAATAATCCTTGCATTTGATATGATGCGTTTTCCATCAGACGGACATCTTATTTCACATGATTTGCTGCAGACTATAGTGACTGTGTATGCGTAGATGAATGTGGCAGCCAAATTGCACACAGCAATGTTCCACAAACAGCCATGAAGTGATTGACCAATTTTATTTGGGGGAACTGTTGGCTAAGACACCGGGAGAAACTCCCTTGTCTTTTTGAATCATGACATGGGATTTTTATCGCCCACATGAACAGTCAAATGGGGACCTCAGTTTAATGTCTAACGGTAACTCCAGCAATGCAGTGGATGCCCAACACTGCAATGAAGTGACAGCCTAGATTGCGAGTTCAAAGACTCGTTATAGGCTTTTGTCTCAGAGGTGAGAATGCTACAACTGAGCCAAGCTGACACTTACTGTGCTTTAGAACCCATTGTGTGGATTAGAAAGAGAGAATGCACACAATGTGATTGTTAATTATGTTCTTCAGAAGCAAACTGAAAGATGTGTGCTATGAGTATGTATCACTATTGCAGAATCACTAAAACCAGACATGCTGGCCTCTGGGTTAATGGAAAGAGCTGCAACAACGGGGAGCAGCACATTCATACTTCTACTGTGAGCAAAATGCAAGATCAAGGAGTTGGTCATATCTTCAAAAGAAAAACAAAAGAGAATGGGAAATGCAGGAGAAATATTTTTAGCAGAAGGGTGATAGCATGTGGAACAGATGACCAGCAGAGGTAATGGATCAAAAAACTATAAGGCTTCAAAAGGGATGTAGGTAACTACATCCATTATCCACTACGGGAATTTCCATTATCCACTACGGGGTCTCTATAATGGCACGTAAATGAGATTCCATATTATCTGTTGCAGAACGGGATGAGAGTCTATCCCATGGGTTAATTCACAAGCCAATATGTTGACTGATTGGTGAACATTGCAAACTTATCACAACGAAAAGGGCAGGCGGAATGGAACAATGGGGCAAATAGTGTAATGTGTAAGAATAATCACTGGTGAAAATTATTGTCCAAAACATAACTTTTGCAAGTCTGATTATGAACACAGCTCTGGCTTTAACATGATGATTTGACCCGTAGCCAGCTGCCAGCTATTATTGTTGTTGGTGCTGTCTGAGGCACTGGTCCACTCTTCAGTTAGTATGGCATGTCATACAGCAGCACTCAAAAACCACTGTCCAAGGCTGGCAACATCAATTGTGGCCTTTGGAGGCTTCACGTGGCTTTAGGCCAAATTATTATGTTACTCAGAGGGTACTCAATGAAGGGAACAGGTTGCAGGAAAGGCGGTAGAGGCCAAGAGATGGGACTTATTTAAAAAGCAGCTCGATGTAGTGATGGGGTGATGGTAGAACGGGTGAGATCAGATGGGCTGAAGGGTCTCCTTAATCTGAACCGATCTTGTGAGAGGGTGGCTGAAACATTGGTGGGCCACCTACCTTCTATAACGCTTTCCCGAAATTTCTCTGTCTTGCTCTCTGACCCTCTTTGCTTTTGAACCAGTCTAAACCATTATCCCTTTGACATTAACTCCTTCAGCTACCTCTACCCTACTTTCTATTTCTTCCCCAGCTCAGACTCCCACTCTGACCTTGCAGAGTGCTTTGATATACTTTTCTACATGAAAGGTGCTATAAAATTGGAAATTCTTGGTCTTAAATTATTCATAATCAACTGCACAAGTTTAGTTTGGATTCACCCCAGAGGAACTCGGACTTGTGTGGTAATTTTATTCTTATTTTTGACCAATTTCTTTGCCCTTTTGTACCCCAAACAGTTTTTGATCCCCATATCGCTGATATGTGAATACATTTACACTTTATGATTAAAAGCAATATGATCATTACCAATTTATTGAGAAATGTGTCATTGGGAACTTTTACTCATGTGTCATATTTAGATTTGGGACATTTTTTGAAAGAAAAAGCATTTCATTTGCAGAAAGTTAATTCTATTATTTGGTTAATTGATAACATAAGAGAAAATAATTTTATTTTAAAGAACTGCACCATCAATGGAAAGTTTAAGCTTTGGGATGGAAAGTAATAACATCTAGCAATAAATATTTTAATTTGAAAAACACACCACAGGCGTTTTGCAATGAATTCAGACAGTGACCTTATATTATTCAATTTGCCCAGCAGCTTTAACAGTGAATTTATTCAGATGATTTTCACCGAGATAATATTCATCGATTTTTTTTTCACCCCCACCCCTCCTTCGCAACAGAGGGAATGCGTAATGAGATAAAAGCACCTGTGAAAATGTTTTGATTTTACTGCGTTTCATTTACTCTCTAATAAATATAAACCACTTGTCCTCAAAGAACAATGTGCTAATGTCTTTCAGGTGCTTTTATTTTCCTTTATGTGCAGAAAATATGGGCAATTGTGGAATAGTTCAGGTCCCTGCTGAAGACCTTTCTCTTCAACCGTGCCTTTGGTGACCTTCCTCCCCATCCCTCTGGCTCGTCCCCAGAATCCATCACTGTGAAGTGCTCTGAAATGCCGTTCGGCATGGAGGGCACTATATAATCCAAGTTGTTGTTGTAGTTTATCATCACATTACTGCTTGCCTTGCATTCTTATCCACATTGCCTCCAAACATGTATCCATAGGGTTATACTTCATGGAAAAAGAGTTCTCCTAAGCTTTACTACATCAAATATTTATGGCTCTGTTTGAAATCTCAGCATTTGTTGTGTGATTATTTGCAGTTAGGCCAGTTATTACTTGCTTAAAAATTCACTTGTGCACGTCTACTCTTTTACAGTGTCATCAGGAACAGATGTGCCAGAGTCAGTAATTTTAATAAAGAACAGTGCCAAAGGAGATGAAAATTGTTCTTCAGCAGTTTATTGGAAACTTGGTGAAATATTTAAAGTTGCAAGTTCCCTTTTCTAGTGACTTTCTTTGGTAATAATAATGATAATCCTTGCATTTGATATAGCGCCTTATCATGTTTTCGAGACGTCTCAAAGTGCTTCATAGAATATACTGGAAAGTGAATTGACTGTATATTTTCTGGGTGAAACGTTAAGGTTAATTTCACCAATTTGGTACTTTATCATTCAACCAAATGGACCAAATAGCAATACTTTATGAACCTGCCTGGGTTTAGAACCTCAGCTTAGCTTCATTGGGTTGCAGTAAAAGGAACATGACGACAAAACTAAATCACTTTAAAATCAAGATCATCATTAAATAACACTTTTTAATGCAGGGATATAAAGTCCCACTGCGTTAGAGTTGACGCAATTTGGTGCTTTCTCCCCATTTTTTTTGGGGGGGGATGGGTGTTCAGCCAGGCATCTGACACATTCAGAAACCCATCACCATTCTTAAGATTATCCAAACCAAATTGAGCGTCACATACACCCTACCTATACATGGAAATCTCAGAGATAGATTGTTGGAATGGAATGGCACTCTCTCCATAGAGGGACGTATCGTGTTTACCTGATCCCCTCTTGCCCCGCCCCCCTACATTTTCCTTGGTTATAGTTCCAATGACACTGGACTCACTTTCATAACTATTTCACCCACAGTCAATTCATTTTACAGTATATTCTGTGAAGCACTTTGAGACATCTTGAAGATGTGATAAGGTGCTATATAAAATGCAGGGATTATTATTCTTGTCCCAGTTGCCCTGATTCATGTGTGAGCCTTGACATTAATTAATTCCAAGCTGATCCTGATGCTGCCTCACCAGACATCCACCCATTCAAACCTTCCTGATATTTTCAAACGACCCCAGGTCAGTCAAGGGGGAGCAGATAAGTTTCCTCAGCTTTCATGCTTGTGAATTGGGTGTTTCTGACTGATATCTATAACTGGCTTGTTCACAAGGGAATAAAGGAGAGGACAGGCCCGAGCTGGTAGAAGTTGGAAAGCAATTGTCATCTTGTCATTTTTCAAAATGGACATCCAGATGTTCAATATGAAAATAATTTGCCCACAAAATATACAGTCAGTTCACTTTACAGTATATTCTGCGAAGCACTTTGAGACGTCTCAAAGATATCCTAAATGAAAGGATAATTATTATTAATTAAACTGAAGGTGTTGTTCAAGAAACAAGGACATTCAAGCAGAGAAATATAAAATGGCAATGTTTTCGTTGCCAGAATTATATTTCTTACTTGCCTTTTCTTCTTTTTTCACTTGCACTTGTTTAATCAATAATTGTCTCCAACAAAATCCATGAACTACCCACACGTGCAGATTCTACCCCGTTACTATGGAAACTGTCAGCAGCAAACAGCAGGCAGAGATAGCATCTGGCCTTGTTTGCAGTGATGTCATCACGTATTTATCTACCTCTCCTGGTGCTTCTGCCCGATTACCTACTTGGAAAATGAATAGTTCGAATATAGTTTACCTTATCAATAATAATAATTATAATCCTTGCATTTGACAAAGCCCCTTTTGATGTTGGGAGTGCATCTCGAAGCACTTCACAGGATTTACTGTAAAATTCATTGACTGTTTATTTTTGTGGTTGAATATCAAAACCAAAATAAAACTATTGGTTGAAATAGTACAAGTAGTAAGCCATGGCAAAGGGGAACAACAACAGCTTACATTTATGGAGTACCCTTCATGTAGGATGATGTCTTGGAGCGCTTACCATCACTGGATCGGACACCAAGCAGAGCGAAAGAGGAGGTGACCATAGGCTCGATCGATGAAGTAGATTGTAAGGCAAGACATAGATAAATAAAGAGGAACTGAGACGGAAGGGTAGAGGGAGGGAGTTCCAGATGTTAGGGATGTAAAATCTGAAGACTCGGCTCGCTTAGAGTGAAGGTGAGCAGAGAAGTCTGGAAGAAGATGAGGTACAGCACAATACAATTTACATTCCTCTGTAGCACTTGTCAGGTTTGGCGGTTGTCTCGAAGTTCTTCACATTGCTGAAGGAGCACCCGAGTAAGAAGTGGGAACCATAAGGGACACGCTAAGGCATGAAGGAGTTTGTAGGTGAGGACCTTGGAATCAATCTGTTGGAGGACAAGGAGACAACAACAACAAAATTACATTTGTATAGTGCCTTTCATGTCAGGAGGATGTCCCAAAGCACTGGACAATCAGTGTTTCAGAGCCGAGCTGGGAGTCAGGATCGGGGAAGGTAGGGGAGTAAAGGAGGGTGATCGAAGGCACGGTCAAAGAGGAGGGTCTTTTGACGGATCTTGAAAAAGGCAAGAGAGGGGGTGGAGGCAGGGGGATTGCAGGGTGGAGTTCCAGAATGGCTGCAGGCCTTCCTGCCAATGGTGGGGCAGGCGAACTGGAGGACATGAAGCAGGATGCATCCCACTGAGCGGAGGGAGCGGGCAGGTTGGTAGGGGGGAGCAAGGCCATGAAGAACTTTGAAGGTGAGGACCAGGATCTTGAACTGTATTCTCTGTGTGATGGGAAGTCAGTGGAGTTGGGCGAGGATGGGGGTGATAGGGCACGGAGCATAGTGCAGGAGAGGACACAGACTGCAGAGTTTTGGATGATCTGCAGCTTATGGAGGGAGGAGTGGGGGAGGCCAACAAGCAGAGAGTTTACAGAGTTGAGCCTGGATATTGTGAATGTGTGTTTGAGAGTCTCGGCAGCATGTGGTGTGAGACAGTGGTGGAGACGGGCGATGTTGCGGAGGTGGGGGAAGGCAGAGAGGGTCATGGCACAGATGTGGGGGTAGAAAGGATAGTTGAGGGTCAAACAAGATGCCAA